GCAAGTCACGTACACGCCGCAATGTTTTTATTTGGTCTGTATTTAAACCTCAAACGCCTGACATGAGAAACAGGAGCAATATATATTGTCACAAGCCTACTTCCCAAAAAAATACGTTATATTGAGCGCAAAATGACTTGCACTGATGGTTGCCGACACGTACGACAATTTTAAAATGTTCTTTGTTGCGTAATATCGTCGCCAGGTTGCTACAAAATATAGTTTACTTATAATTTAAGTTGAAAGTTATGTTCCCGGAGGGTGACATACGGCGGTAGAGAGTTGAGATGTAAATCACCTACATCTTCAGTTTTTTTAATCAAGCTTGAGCGTCAAATTAATGATCGTGATCATCGTTTGCAGTCCAGAACTAAAACTTTTTACATTAGGCGTTCATTTCAGCCTATCGCTGGGTTAATGATTCATAAGATCTTTCAATAGACCTTGGTAATACAAATTGCTTCTCTCCATTCAGCGAGAAAAATGGAAGTTTGTTACCTTTTAGTCATTATTATGCAGCATTTCTATTTTTAATTTTAAAGCTTTAGTCAATAAATTAGTTGTTAAAAAGGTTTTGATGAGAAGTCTTCATTAGTACGCTGAGAGTGTGGGCGCAATGCATAATTTTTGGGAGCGATCTCATCAACGGCTGAAGGTCACAGGATACACTTGCTGTAGGATCTCTCAAGCTTAAGGACAGCATGAAGCGCTACCTAGTGTTTTACGACTACATTTTATAGCTCCACTTTATGAGCATGATGCAATTGCTGAAAAAAATGGCCGCTCTATGGATACCGAATTACTCGTGATACTGCAAAAATGCTGTACTCTCTACAGAGAACATGCAGGCTGGAAGTGTACGGACTAAGAGTTTTCCCGCGCATAGAAAAAAGTGCTCTGATTTCTGAACAGTTAATGCATCTGTAACTCTTAGCTGAGACGCAAAAATTAACTTTCTTCAGATCACGTAAAATATTGAAGAATTAAATATAACTGTCGACTGATAATAATTCCTATTTTTTTATGAACACAAAGAGATAAGTAGAAATATCAAGCTTGTATAGCCTCGCAAATGTGTACAACGTATTGAGGTACAATAATTTTTTATAAGTCCCTGCTCTGTGGGAATACCGAAAAACAAACGTCTTTTGTTTCGATTTGTTTTTCCACCTGAAGCCCCGTACGTGGAGGTAAAACATGAAAAGAACTTCTGTACAAAACAACTACGACACGCAATTCTCACTCTGCGGTTAGGATTTGCTATTCAAGAAGAAATAACGTCCAGCGAAGCCGCAAAAACTGAACAGAAAAAGATCCTAGCGCTTGGATACCGCTTTATTGAGACTGGGAAGGCGTCTGAAGGCTAACTTAATGTTGTTTCCAGGCATAAAAACTTTGTTTCCAAGAAGTTTTCTCCCTAAAATACTTTGGGCATCTCATGTTGCTCTGGACCGACACGGCGCTTCATGTTTATTTATGGAGATTGTTATGCTCGAAAGTTGCGAGCATCTTCTCTCATAAACATGTCAAAGTAAGCGAGAAATTCAGAGCTTCTGAATGAATGACAATCTAAATGAAAGTAATCAGCAATTCTTCTAATGTTTAGAATAATATATCAGTGAAAGAGGTAGTAGAAGGTTGAATTTGCTACCTCAACACTGCTGCTACAGATGCATTACATTTCAAACATTTCTGAACTTTGAAGAATGTATTTTTAATGAATTAAATTTACTACAAACCTTCTATTCGCATCAATGCAAGTAGAAGCGAGAAGTTTTTCCAACTTTCGCGCTGCTCATTCAGACAAAAATTCGGAAATATTGAAAAACGACGCTGCAGTTTTCGAATCTCTGCAACATGAAGTGCGTGACATCAACATTAGAAAGGGAAAAAATTAAAGTAAATTCTGACTCATTTGGCGTCTTAAAATAATTTTCTGCTTCTTCAAATCATATTTGCATGTTTTACTAGAGTCTTAGATTCCTTAACAAATTAATAAGCATTAAATTTTAGTTCCTCTGAAATGAAGTTCTTATTTGTGATTGAATTCCATAAAAACATATTTCTTTTCAGTTTGCTAAGCGTGATAAGTCGGGTAAAGCTTTAAGTTAGCGCAAAATTAATTAGAGTAGCCAATTTGATTTACTCGTAAACTGTTGCAATTTATTTAGTAAATAGATATGAAATTATTCTTGCTTGGTGATGAATTTAATAAAATTGAATAACCAATTACGTGGATTATTTTAATTTATAATTAACTCTCATGTATATGAGAAATTAAACACGAACTAGAAATGAGAATGGAATCGTTAGGGTTCGAGTTAACATGAGAATTTTACCTCGAGCAGAAAACGAAATTGTCCGAGGTAAAATGATTCTGGATATGAACGAGATGTTTCATTTCTTGCGGAGAATCTTTTCCTCATGATTTCTTTTCTGACCTGTTGAGCGCAAACAGGATATACGAGCGCTAGACCATTGTGGCGGTAGAGCAAATAATCAAACTGGCTTTTGTAGGACGAATATTAAAACCACATCCCGCAGGCTCGCTTGGAAATTTCCAGTTTCGTTGCTTAATTGGGTGCACGTCAAACACTCGCAATAAGAACGGCATTGGCGTCTATGTTTGACTTGTCATAGATTTTTTTACCTGCTTGGATCAATATGTTGGAGTGTATGGTGCATTTGTCGCATTATAATAGCATCGCATCGTTTCTTGGAATAGGAATCACCGCTACTCATCTTTGTAGCGATGATCTTATTAGTCTTAGACTTTTTTGTCTGGTCATTAATCGTCATGGTGCATCAGTACACTAAGACAAGGATTCGATGATGAATAAAAGAAATCAAAGCATCCATTGAAGCATGCCGACTACTTTGAGTTGGCATGAGTAAAATACGCTGTACTGGATCTAAATTTCCTGTGACAAAGGTCATTCGTTTCTTAATTTACAAGTGCACCCTGACATGGAGAGTCGAAATTACTCATTGAATTGTTTTAAATACAAGAATGCTTAAACTTTTTACACGTTGAGAAACATCGCGTGTTTAATTAATTGCAAATGAACTTTTCTATCTATATAAAAATGTTTTGAGTGTGGCATTTGTTTTCTGAATTATTTAAGAGCTCCCACACAACAGCCACTTCCACCGCTTGCCTGACCAGCAGGTGATGGTGCGGATCTCTTGTTGCATGGCTTGCCGAGCTCAAACTTACCTCACCTGCTCCTGAACTGAAAGCACGTAGATTTATTTTGTAAAATTAAGAGCAAAAAAATATGGTATTGAATGATTTCTCATTGAATCAAAGAGAAAATATAATCAACAGATGAATAACCTTACATGCAAACAAGTCTCTCAATCGGTGCACGAGCGATGAAGTGGGTTCGATTTTGATAATTATCAACGATGAAAAATTGCAATATGTTTGTGAGTGGTTAAATAATACTGAATTTCTATTATATCTAGTATAGTATCATAGCAACTCTTTATCTTACACACTAGTGAAAATGAATATTTTTATTTCAATCTATTGCATGTTGATTAAATGACATCATTGCATCGCTGCGTTTAGTAGGTAAGACAAGTAACAGTATACTTTAGTTAATGTCTATCAAGGTCTCTACAATCAGTTCTATAGAATGCCAGTTAGTTGTATAGAATGCCACTTTTTACATCACTTGAAAGCCTAAGAACCGCAGAGAAGTCGACCGAATGTTGGCATACTGCATAGAACATCGTAATGACAAAGCATCGATCGCTAACTTGCAGCGTTAAAAGAATTAACGTTTTGGGCTTCCCATTCGATAGTGAGGCCAGGGCAGGGGTGAGACTTCTGAAGCACTATAATGAAGTCACTTCATTGTTGTTCCTACGTCAGTTGTCTTAATACGCGATAAATTTAACTCGACAAATACATTAAAGGCACCAACGATCGCGTCATTTGTAACAGACTCTAGTAACCTTTATAAAGATATAGCGACAACGTATATAAATCTTCAATGCATTATTAATATTGAGAGTCTAATTCAATCGTAATCTGTAGAAGGGTGAAGAAATCTGAATATACCCGACAAAATATGCACGTTATATTGAGGTCTACTCAGGTCAGGCAGCCTAGAAGATGAAGCAATTACAGTGAGATGTACGACGTGTGGTCACACAACGCACCTCGGCTGCCGTCTACGTCAGGCGACTCCAAACTATCGAGGCAGTCCCGACTGCATTGATCGTTTAATATTACTCGTGGCAGATGTTGTCATTTTTATTGATATAAGATGGAATGTGTCTTGATTACGCGTATTGATCAATAGCTTATGATTTTTAGGACGGTTCAACAGTCAGCCGAAGTCAATAATTGAAGTCTAATGCATTTCTTTTGGCTAAGGAATAAATTTTTTATTCGTTGAGTTTGAATAACTTTTTCCAAGTAATATACACATCAATAACTCTCCATTATATTTTGTAATATAACAAAATCAAAATTAAATTAAGAAATTGATCTTAAACTATAATTGATGGGTATACAACCGGGATTAATATTCTGGTCCATATCTCGATAAACAAACACACGGAAAATTTAACTAAAATTTACCTGGGCTGTTGATGTACTGTCAATATTCGCAGTTCGTATGCAACGTTGACGCTAGACTCGCTGGACGAGCTCGTGAGTTTACCGAATAGTCAATTAGTGATTGGCAGCAGATGTTTATGGGCTCCACTGATTGAATTGCGCGGCTCAAGCACAACCAAGACTGAACAAAAAGTGCTACTCCCTCCCACGCCAGCAAATGATGTTAAAACCAAGTTGATGACGTGTTGATTTCTCGTTTAAACAAAGTCTAATTGACTATATGTTTCAACGTCGGATGTGTCGTGGGAGGAAATAATATGTGCTTTTACGAGTCAGAGCACAACTATGATGCAATTAGTCGTGTTAACTTATCGCTATACCTATACATATGATTAGTTTTAATAATGATCTACTTTATACTATAATAATGTCTTTGAGGATAGGCTGTCTGGCATGTGAGACGGTGTGTGCAGGTTTGCCAGAATCAATATTAAACTTATTTTTTAAATTAGAAGCGAGTTTTTAACAAGTAAAAATAAAGTTAACGAGTCAATCAGTTTAAGACTCAGTTTTTTAAAAGTTTAACCTGAGGAAAAATGTGTTGCTGGAGAGCTTGCAGAAACGTAAGGAACGAGGAAGTGACCATGATGATATTGGCACTTATTTAAAATTGAGGGAGAATACAGACTAATACGGACATACAAAATGACTATGAATTAAGTGCGCTTTCATGAAATGTGAACCATTTAGAAATCAAGAATTCAGATATTGGTTATATATTTGGTCTTACAAAACGAATCAAGAGAGGTTCCCACTAAGATTGCGCTCCATATGATTGCTTTTCCCACTGAAGTTGGCAAATATTGTTTGCCCGCAGGGCCTCCACCCAAACATTAGTGCTCGTGTGGGTGCTACTCGTTATTTCAATAAGTGTCACCAACTTATCTATATGTATATCTTAATATAACTACCACTACCTCCACAGCTCGCTTCAACTGACCCTAACTCTACCGCTAAATTCAACTGCCCCTACCTATACAGCTCGCTTGAACTGCCCCTAACTCTACCGCTAACTTCAACTGCCCCTACCTCTACAGCTCCTTCAACTGACCCTAACTCTACCGCTAACTTCAACTGCCCCTACCTATACAGCTCGCTTGAACTGCCCCTAACTCTACCGCTAACTTCAACTGCCCCTACCTCTACAGCTCCTTCAACTGACCCTAACTCTACCGCTAACTTCAACTGCCCCTACCTATACAGCTCGCTTGAACTGCCCCTAACTCTACCGCTAACTTCAACTGCCCCTATCTCTACAGCTCACTTCAACTGCCCCTATATCTACAGCTCACTTCAACTGCCCCTGCCTCTACAGCTCCCTTCAATTGCTCCTACCTCTACAGCTCACTTCAAATGCCCCTACATCTACAGCTCACTTCAACTGCTCCTACCTCTACAGCTCACTTCAACGGCCCCTACCTCTGCAGCTCACTTCAACGGCCCCTACCTCAACAGCTCACTTCAACGGCCCCTACCTCTAACGCTTACTTCAACGGCCCCTACCTCTACAGCTCACTTCAACTGCTCCTACCTCTACAGCTCACTTCAACGGCCCCTACCTCAACAGCTCACTTTAACGGCCCCTACCTCAACAGCTCACGTCAACGGCCCCTACCTCAACAGCTCACTTCAACGGTCCCTACCTCTAACGCTTACTTCAACTGCCCCTACCTCTACAGCTCACTTCAATTGCCCCTTCTTCTACAGCTCACTTCAACTGCTCCTACCTCTGCAGTTCACTTCAAATGCCCCTACATCTACAGCTCATTAAAACAGCTCCTACCTCTATAACTCGCTTCAACTTCCCTTACCTCTACACCACGCTTTAACTAACCTTTCATCCACGGATAACTTCATCTGCTCTTACCTCTATAGCTAGTTTCAACAGCCCCTACATTTACAGTCAGTTGTTACTGTGGTTTTACATCCAGCTGTTACCGTACTGTCGTGGCACGGTACGGACGCTGTACTCGTCGTCAAGTCGTGGCACGATACGGTCGCTGTAACCGTTATCTTCTCGTGACACGGCATGGGTGTCGAGTGCCCGTGCGAAAACGGCATAAAGCCATCAGCATCTATTAGTCAGGCAGTTGTTAGGGAAAATTTACGAGCGGTAATTGGAAGTTACTCAGTTATAACTGTATCATACTGGCGCACGCGTGTCGTCGCCGCATGATCTTTGGCTACCCCCGGCTCCAGGACTAACGGAAGCAGACTTGAACTGCGGTTAGGGTGAGCACTCCAACTGAACTGTATGGTTTCTAGTCCTGCAGTATTTAAAGACATATAAATGCAAAAAAAATGCGCAGTCTTAAAATGAAGAAACTAACATAGATCTTTTGTGGCAACAGGATAATGTCATGTTCTTGGTCATGAATATATCCAACTATAACCAGTTATATATCATATGAATTGTCTGAGTACGGCGGAAAGCCTTTTGTCATTAAAGGTTTTGGTTTACCTAATAATGCTCTTGAATGGACAAATATCTATAAATTGCGTTGTTGTTCTGTTATTCAACTCATCAGGAAGAAAATGAATTATTCACATCCTCTAACATCATATACTTCTTTAGGTCGATGGCTCAACAGTGGATGTTTGGCGCTACGTCATGGAGAGCTGGCAGATGCATGTTTTGAGGCAATTCATCACGCAGCATGGCTGCAAATTACAGACTTGATGAAAAAGAGGTCCGGCTAAAGATATCTCTCAACATTCGTGGCACTGAAGTGCTCCAGGTATCGCCATTCTGCTCTATTGTTAGGCAAATACTGACATCTCGATCTCTGTGATTATTTGTCCATATCCACAATCGCTGCTCGTAATCGCGTTGATGTACCTATGATGGAACGACGGGACTTAACAATATACATCAACTTTAAATACGCCGTGTTTATTCTTCAAGCATGGAAGAAAACTAGCAAATTAGCACAAGGAAAATGTGTCAAATTTGTTCATGTAGTTCTGATTTGTAAGCTAAACATATTATTGTTATTATTATTATTATTATTATTAATATTATAATTGTTATAATTATTTTTTATTAACTATTATATTTTATATGAGTAACTCAATTTAGTTTTGATTTCCCAAGCTAAAGCTTCCCTCTCAAACTGAGTGTGAATTCTCGAAACATTTGACAAATTGCTAGTCTCTGTGATGAATATGATGACTCATCTAGGTTTGCCTCCAGAAATTATGCATGCATGGCGGTGCACAGAACGGCCACCTGTTGTTGGTCAATGACTTTCCAGTCAGGCTTTCTTCTCATGGATTACAATATATATTGCCCATTTTAGTGATGTTTTCGCATTGGAGATACGACTTTTTATTCTAACAAACACTCTTTTACCAATATGATTACTTGTTTCAGATTCTCATATTAAATATAGTATATTAGTATCTACTGTTGTGTTTCTGCGTTTATATTTTTGAAAACTACTATGATCTTTGCAAACGGGAATTGGGATTCAATAATAGGCGAGAACAATTCACTAGATACTGACGAAATACTAACACTTATTCCTTGCCAATGAAAGACGAAAATTTTCAATACTTTTCAAAATGTCATTCACTGCTAAACATGTTTCTTAAATGATGCATGCATTGGCACATTATATCATTGATTGAATGTAATCAATACGCGTACCCCGACTTGACACAATTAAATCTCCACGTTTCATCACGCGGCTAAAACAAACGCTATTAATCCCCAAAAAATACTGCCCGAACGAGCGTCGATGTAAATAGCAGTCGTAAGGAACAGGAGCTTGTGAGATTGCGTGGGTCATTTACGACAATATACGACACAGCGCCAAGATTTAGAGCTCTTTATGACAGACTCAATTCAGGAGCAGCTTCAGCGGCCGTAATTTACGAGAACACGAATTTGTGGCGCCTATTTTTGGTGGATTCTTCGTGTCGAGAATAGACCGCGGCTATAGACCGCGCCTGGTCAACCGGGCATCTTCGGGACGCTTCATTGATTCTCCGGTGGCTCGTCGGATTGTTATCTCTTAATTGAATCAACGAAAATGTTCTGCCATCGAAAGGATTCCGGGGCACTAAACTTTCATCGTATCATAACTTCTTGATTTATGATGTGGCGATTTAAGATGTACTTAGATTATTCATTCAAATTTTTTACGAAACGATTACATTACATTAGTTAATGAAATAGCCGAGTGGGTATATAGCAATGAGTCTCAGCGATTATAATTAGATGCAAGCCTTCAAAAGCGAGTATATAACAAAATCGCGTAAAAAAATTCCTGTCGATAAAAACATCCGCAGATTGTTTAGTTATGAGTAATAAAGCCTAATTCAATTGGAGTTAATTTCGATCGGCTACAGGGTGATCTTTTGCCTTCTGATGTTAATTATTAATTGCCCCGCTGTGTCCACACACGTCCACGGAGGCGCTAGCAACGTTTGCGAGGAGTAACGCAGGTTTTGTCACTGCCACTCTGCCAGTGCCAGCTTGAGAAGCTTGGGTGCCAGACTGCCAGTGCCTCGTTGGCAGTGCTCGAGTGAAGTCATGCCTCTCTTCCCCTCCGTCTTATTTCTGATCTCTCGTTTGCTGCACCTCACACTGACTCCACCCTTGGCAAACTTTGCGCTTCCCTCTGTCTTGTGAAACCTCTACTTAAAAATATTCGTTAGACGACGTCTATGTAATATTCTTATGCATATTTCTGTGCTGGGAAAAACACTTCATAGATCGGTTGACATAGAACTTAGGGGCATGAGAAGGACGTGCTTGAACACAGCTGTGAGCGACTCCACCCTCGACAAACTCTGTGTATGTGAATTGTTGTAGTTCCTCTTCTCTGATCACTCTATTGCTTACTGTCTTCAGTGCAGTGATGCTCTATCTGCTATAAATAAATTTAAAACGTATAGTTATATGTGAAGTGATTTTGTAATGATTTCGAACAAAGATACAACAGCTGAGCGATGTATCACCTGAAGGTAAGTAAATTGTATTCGAATGCTATAAGAGTGGAGGCGTACATTGTACTGAATTGCTTACTGACTACCGCTCCGAGTGATGTATTGTGAGTCGACTGAGTATGCAAATGAATCAGCTGGGCAGCCAAAGTCATCTGCGTGAAGTGTGATTTTAATAGCGAGGTAAATCATACAAGGTGGCGGCTGCTACAGTGGCTAGTGCGTGCGAGGGCAAGACTCTTTTTGCCCCTGGTTTCCTCGCCTTCCCTCGCGTGATTTTTTCTTGACTTGCTTGTAGCAAATGAGAGTAGCAGAAGAGTCCGTGTTTGCTGCCACTGAGTGCCTCTCGTGTCGCCGCTGAGTGACGGCTCTGCCAGCTCAGCTCCACTCATGCGCTCCATTTTCTATTTATTCATCATGCCGTCGCAAAGTCTGCTTAGTGATGATTGTTTAATATGATATTTCATTTAATAGATTATTTTGTCTCATTTTGCATGAGGTTTACCTCCGCCAAATTAGCGTTGTGTTCTTTATTTTAATTTACAAAGGGTCGCGAATAAATTAACTAGCATGTATTACTCACTACTCAACTTTCGTTAATTTTTAGTGCACAAAACATGTCGACTGTCACTTATTTCATCAGAAGATTTCTTCAAGTGTTTATGCTTGCTTTGGAAGTCGTGATTTAGCTAATTTATTCATGATAATTTTTTCATCCTCTTTACAAGAAGCAAATAAATATTATATAAAAATAAGAGGTTTAATTTATTTAGGCATGTGATTTAGATTGAACAGATTGGATTCTTTTTTAAATAACAATTTTACTGCGCCGTCATTTAGTAGTACAAAGAATGTTCGTTAAAGAAGAGCGCTGCAGCAACATCAACTCGGCATTTTTAGTATGTCCACACAGCGCTTCTCTACAGATATGTTGTTGCTCGCATGAAAGAATGTTTATATTATGAAGCTGCATTATTTCAGGCGTACCGTTGCACTATTCAACTGTGTTTAGACAAAGGCTGCATTCGTTCAGAATGCCTAGCACGGCAGTGTTTTCTAAAGAAATAACGCGGTTTGCTTTAACAATGGTAATGAGCCTGTAACCTCCTCTAATTATTGTAGGGTAACGATGGGAAAAAAATGAAATGCTTTGATGTGCAAGTTAACGGGAAACATTCGAGGTTCTTGTAAAGCTGAAAACGCAATACTGCCGACAAATTGAAGTGATGCCGAGGATCGAGTATTTTTGTATAATAAAATGTAAAATGATGGGTATCAAATAGTCCTTAACTTTTATTTTTGCTGCCACTTCTTATTTATTTGAAGCGTTAATTATTTCAATGGACCATTAATTGATCAAGGGCCAGACATTGCCATACTCTGTGGCCAAAATATCTCTCTTTAATGCTTCTTCGCCTCTCGGCGCCAAGTGAGGAATGTGAACAAACTCGTCTTTATGACTTAGTGATCGACACTCTCTTCGCCATCAAAATTTTACGTTTCGGGGAGAATGCGTCCCGTTTGCTGGTGATTATTGGAACGTTTCTCTGTTGTTAGAGAGGAACAACCGTGCCAGCGTTAAAAAAATACCTACGTTACAATTAATTAAGGAAATGTTCTTTTGATGGCTGTTGCTAAGTTAAAAAAACGAAGTATCGATTCTCAAGGAAATATTAGCGAGTTGACTCGAGACTAACATTTCCCGCTATGTGCACACTATTAAACTTTGTTGCAGCAAATAGTTTGAGCTCGGTGTTTTATGGCTGGCTTTCGTCACTTCCAAATAGTTTCACATTGTTCTCTTGAATGGCACTTTAACTGCGGCGGTGCTCGCGTTAAAGCGCTCGTTTGTATCAAAACTATGTCAATTAAATCAGCTCTACCAGCCGTACTCACAGCTGCAATTGTTCGCTGTAAATACATTAGGTTATAGTGAAGGAGTTTTTCGAAACGATCATAAACCAAACCAATTTCAAATTCGGTACACGCGTATTTCTTGATCGATCCCAACACAAATGAAGAAATTATGTATTTTAATTTAACCATAAAATCAGAAAAGCGACCAGTGAATATTAGGTGGAAATTCAGAGACTTTATACAGCAAGATTATAAGGATTTTAAGTAAAAAATATATGTTATTATGTACAATCATTTTAATTATTATTATATTACATATGCATTAAAATCAAAACCATAAAAAACAGCTATTAAAATAAACGAATTGTTTTTCGTAGCCGATGTTACTCATGCACTCGCCACTCAGCAGTTGAGAATTATTTCAAAGTGAGATTCATTTGACTTCACTATATAGGAGCCTCCAAACTTGTCATGCGATCTCAGCTCCCTTCATTTCTCGACGAATTAAATTGATAGTAAAAACTTCGTTCATTTTGAAGTTAAGTTCATAACGCGATATCAAGAATTAAGTTGAGCGCGCTAATTTCAAGCAATTGAATTGATATCCATGAAAAAATTAATACGGGAAGCAAGGCGAACAAACATTATCGGGGGATTAATTAATCCAAACAATGCGGGATTATTTTTTTATGGAATTTTCAATTTAATTATTTTATTTTGGTTCTGATGAATCAAATTTCCGGTCAACAATGCTCAGCGCAAATTCTTCTGATGTTTCGAAATCGAAATACTAATATAAGACATCAATTTACCATTAAAATTCATACGTTATCAAAAATGTAGGCCATTAGATGTAACACTGTTCTTCCGCATTCTTTCCATGCCATTAAAAACATATGTTTTATATATAGTGAAGCAAATTTCCTTTTCTTCGAGGAAATTTAATTTTATTCTAGGTCTAATTTTGTGCGAGGAAATCTTTTCCGACCACATTTTATTGTTGTTTATGTCATTTTTTTCAGTGCATATTATCAAGTCCATAGCCGTTCAATGACAGTATTAATTTTTGAATTAAAGTAAGTTATGAAGTATCAAAACCTGTCAGCTTTATTTGTCAGTGCTAAGCGGCCAGGCGTGTTTTGAATTCAAACCGAGGTGCCGGGTTAAGCATCGACTGGTTGTTGACGTTGCAACTGCGGATTAACTGAATGCATTAAATGACAAGGGATTTAAGAGGCTTGCATCAGTCGTGGGAAAGGCGACAGCGGCTCTTGTTCTGCGTCGAGGAAAAACACAGCTAGCGAGCTTGTCAGAGTGACACTCTCCCTCGAGTAGCCGCGGTCACGTTCTCGTTCTAACGGACGAGAGGAGTTTACTGGGACTCGCTTCTGAACGCTTCTAACGAACTGAGGTTATGAAAGTGTGGAGAATTCACAGTAAACTCAGGAACCACTAGAAACGAACGCTTAGTTGCACTAATGGCAATATAACGCTTGCAATGCGCTTCCGTAATTACGCTAACCAATGACTTGAAGACTGACCTGCAAACGTATTATTAAAAAGATCGCTTTAAAGCACTTTGAATTCAAGTATAGGCTAGGTCGTGAAAATAATCGTTGGAGTCCAGTAGAAAGATAGCTAGTGCACGAAAACCTTGCACTGTTGAGAAATCATTCGTACGGTTCATTTACGTACGACAACCACAAAAATCCCCTGCAAATTAGAATTAAAATAATTCCCGTGCGATAGAATTATTGAAATTCTCGTGTATGCCAGATAAAACATGACGCTCGAGCTCGCGAATGGTCGAGTCTTTTTGCTGTGAGCTTAACCTGATCCCAGCATCGATTTGCATAATCTCCCTCGAAAATCGGCCCCACCGTTTTCCACGATTTTTGAGCCACGTCTGCGAGAAGAAAACGACCACCTCTGGGCGTCCGGATGAGTCTTCGCCGGAGTGTCTCATAGATGCTGACGCAGCGCATTGAAGAACAACTAGTGAAATTGAGCATTTAATTTATCATCCTTTCTGTAACGACGAAGAGACCTATAGGTTGTATAATTGGTTGAAGCAACGTAACTATTGTACAATATTCATACGGAACTATAGAGCAAGCTGACTTTACATGCACTGCTATACCATCCACGAGTCGTTCTCTCCAGCTTTCTTTGCTTCATTATGTATTATAATTTTATCATATTTCACATTCGTCTGTGCGGGAAGATACATATTAGGATCTTTTGCAATAATTATGAGAATTGCTTTGTTATCAATTCAGGAACAGTAATCTTTCTACTGTGAAACTGTTTGCAACTTTGAAAATTTATAAAAAATGTGATCAATAGTTACTGCTGATTAAGGAGAAGGCGAAAAAATTAGCAACGGAAACGATGGAAGAGATAAATAACTCTGAATTTTCCTCAGACAAAGTATATCATAATCTTCAAGCATATTTATTGGTACTATTTTTAAGCTAGAATTTATACAATCAACAACAATCTTAAATATAAACAAACCGTCAATACATCTGGGGCTCCCTTTAAGCTGTATTAATCCGTCAGACTTAAATGTGGTCCAAATTTATTTCGACGCTAAAATCCATCCATTTCGTTGCCTCACTACAACGTCAGGCTCAGGAAGTTCCTCCCTGAAATGATAGCATCGTATTTTTTTGTTTATGTCGCGAGGCTCATTAAAAAGTCATCAGGATCTGCCAATTGTATATGATGCAATTCTCATTATCTCAACTGGAGGAGAGCGAAAAAATAATGGCAATGCCTTTCCCTGATCGGCCATCTATTAATGATGACTTCCCAATAAATTGCCAACTAATCGATGCCTAATTAGTTACTGAGCGACCCTCCATAATAACCGATTGTTGGAGAGAACAATGACCAAATGTCGTCAGCATGTTGAGTAAGATAAAAAATAAGGATAAAATAACATTAAAGATGGAATGAGTTTCGCATTCCCAGAAAATTGTGCTAGATTATAATATGTCGCATAACATAAAAATGAAGCCGAATGTGGAATCAATTCTTCCTATTACTGAAAGATTTTCTCGCACCGCTAGAGTTTCTATGAGCTGGCTGAACTAAAGGAGTATTAGACAATTTGATCTATTTTATATGAACTTAGCCTTTTTAAAAGTTTTTAGATGGTT